CCTCAGAACCTCCGCTAGGAAGTCTGGGCCAAAAGGACCCTGAAAGTTTAGGGTTTAGGGTTTAGGTTTTAGGGTTTTAGGGTTTTAGGGTTTAGGGCTCTAGGGTTTAGGGTTTAGAGACTGAAAGCCTTCAGCCCCCAAGCCCGCAACAGCCTACGCCAAGTGGCCAAACGTCCGAGACCGGATGCCAATTTGCCTTGGGGTTTAGGATTTCGGAGTTTTGACTATAAGGATTTAAGGGGTTTTAACTAAGGATGTAGGGGTTTTAACTAAGGATTTAAGGGTTTTAACTCAGGATCTTAGGATTTAGGGGTTTTAACTAAGGATTTAAGGGCTGGCCTTGCCAGGATACAGATGTACAAGCTCACTGCACCACGGGTGCAGCGGGCCGTAGATGATGTGGTCTCGTTCTCAGAGGGTGGGTGTGTAAGGTCTCCTTAAACCCAAAGCCCCTCCTTCTTTTGCCGAGAGGCTGTTGCTGTGAGATGGTGTATTTTGACTGCATTCGCGGCAAGTATGCTGGGCGTCAGTTGTAGAGTCTAGTTTGGACTTTAAGGCTTTAAGGGTTTAAGGATTTAGGGTGAGTATGGCCGCTCCTCAAATCAGAAAAAAAATTTCAAGTCAGAGCACAAACTAGAAACCAGGAGGACGAGTCCCCAAGTTCCAAGGAACAACTAAAATATTAGTAAAGCCTAAAACCAGCCCAAGGTTGACATGTGGGTGGGTGGCTAGGCGCACACCGCAACACACGCGTGTGCCTAAACCCTAAACCCTGAACCCTGAAGCCTAAACCCTAAACCCTAAACCCTAAACCCTAAACCCTAAACCCTAAACCCTAAACCCTAAACCCTAAACCCTAAACCCTAAACCCTAAACCCTGAGACCGAACTCCGCACGCAAGTGCCCGGCCATGAAGCCCTTCAGCCCTGAAGCCGTGCTGTAGGCCCCCGATGCCCTTGAAGTCTGGCCTAGGTTTAGGGTTTAGGGGTTGGGGTTTGGGGTTTCGGGTTTGGGGTTTAGGGTAGGGATTGGGGGTTTCGGGTCCTGGGTTTCAGGGTTTCGAGTTTAGGTGCAGGGCTTCTCTGAACAGCTACATGGGACCTCAATATGGTCCCTTACCTCCTTTAACAGGTTCTGAAGTAGCTACCCGAAGAGAATCTCCAAACTTCTAAACCTCTAAACCTCGAAACCTCTAAACCTCTAAACCTCTAAACCTCTAAACCTCTAAACCTCTAAAGCTCTAAACCTCTAAACCTCTAAACCTCTAAACCTCTAAACCCTAAACCCTAAACCCTGATAACAGGGGTTCTACGATCCGAAGCTCCAGGTCAAAACGACCATCGAAGATGCCGCCAAGGCCAATGCAGACTCGGGGCCGGGTTAATTTAGTTTAGGGTTTAGAGGCTTGGAGCTTTAGGGGTTTTGAGGTTTAGGGGTTTGGAGGTTTAGGAATTTCGGGGTTTAGGGGTTTAGAGCTTTAGGGGTTTAGAGGTCTAGAGGTGTAGGGGTGTAGGGGTGCAGGGGTGTAGAGGTGTAGGGGTGTAGGGGTGTAGGGGTGTAGAGGTGTAGGGGTTGAGGGGTTTCGGGGTAAGCTTATGGGTTTGGAGGTGGTTTCGGGGTTTAGGGCTGTAGGGGTTTAGAGGTTTAAAGGTTTAGAGGTTTAAGAGGTTAAGAGGTTTAAAGAGGTTTAAAGAGGTCTAAAGAGGTTTAAAGAGGTTTAGTGTTTTAGGGTTCGCGCTACCCTAAACCTTAAACACCCACGCCCCTTAAACCCTTTGGTTTGCTTGCAGCCGCACTCAGCCTGGAAACTCGAAACCTGATCCCTGCCTGGCCTGTTCAGGCAAGGGGGCTCCGCTGTGAGGAGCGAAACGGCCTGGGCCACAGGGCGAAACCCTAAACCCTAAACCCTAAACCCTAAACCCTAAACCCTAAACCCTAAACCCTAAACCCTAAACCCTAAACCCTAAACCTTAAACCTTAAACCCTAAAGGGGTTGTGGGTTTCTTAGCCGTGTGAAGGTTCCTGAAGCCCAAGCCCTGAACACCGATGCGGCTTAGGAAGCGTCAGCCGCAAACCTATCTAAGGGTAGTTTCATGGTCCCAGGGTTTAGGGTTTAGAGTTTAGGGTTTAGAGATCAGGGTTTAGGTTACGGGAAGTCCCTTAATAGTGTTTTCTTAACCTTTTGAAGGGTTCCGGTGTATGGGCCCTTGGGTTGTACAGGGTATATAAGGGGCAGAACAGGGGTCCCCTGTTAAATGGCCCGTATCAAGGGACCATGTATCTTCGGGTTTAACCTACCCTAAACCCCAAATCCTAAACCCTAAACCCCAAATCCTAAACCCTAAACCCTACACCCTCAACCCTAAACCCCAAACCCTAAACCCCAAACCCTAAACCCTAAACCCTAAACCTGGAAAACCCCTAAGCCCGGTTTGCAAAGTCATGCCCTACGACTTCCCAGGCAAGCACCTCGGCCGCGGCCCCGTGAGATTCTGGAGCCCTTTATAGCGGTAGCCTAAACCCTAAACCCTAAACCCTATGCCCTAAACCCTAAACCCTAACCCCTAAATCCTAAACCCTAAACCCTAAACCTTAATATAGGGGTCGGAATAATTACAACTCTCTGTATAATTATACTACAACCCCCCCCAACAAAAAAGCAAGAAACAAAAACAACAAAACCTATTGCAATTGTTCAGGCCCCGATATTGCGCTTTCCTCGCAGCTCTGTTGGGGGGGGACTAGGGTTTTCTATAGCCCCATTAGGAATCATTTCTATTTTCATGTTTGTAAAGCCCGAGGGAAGATGGAAAATATTATTTTTAAGAATGTTCTGAGGGGAGTTTAGATTTTAGCCTTTCAGGGTTTAGGGTTGCAGGGCTTCAGGGATTTCAGGGCTTCAGGCCAGGATTTCAGGGTTTCAGGTCTTGGGGCGATGGCGAGTTTTCGGGTGGCAGGGGGAGGGTTGTTGGGGGGCTCACGGCCCGGTACTTCCGGGGCAGATCCGGGGCATGCCTAAAACCCTGAACCACAGAAGCCATCTACCCCAAAACCACGGCCCGAACAAAAACAAAAAAGAAAACCCTTAAACCCTAAAATCCCGGTTTGGGAGGTGGGTTCCTGAATCTAGCTGGTTGCCAAGACGCAAGACGAGCAAGGGCCTTCGGCTTGCTCCTTCGGGGTTTAGGGTTTAGGGTTGCGGGTTTCGGGTTTAGGGTTTAGGCCCCAATAGTACCCACAAGCAGTTCCAAGTCTACGGAAAACGAGCGCTGCAGGTGACGACATCCCTGGCAAGCTGGAGAAGGCACTTTCGACCCTCAAGTCGACCTCGAAACTCAGAACCTACAATCCTAAATCCCCCACAACCCTAAACCCTAAATCTCTAAACCCTAACCCGAAATCTCTCAACCTCAAACCCTGAGGGCAGCTATCCCTAAACCCTAAACCCTAAACCCTCAACCCCAAACCCTAAACCTGAAACCTGGGTTGAGAATCCTAAGCCCTAAACTCTAAACCTTGAAGCCTTCAAAACCTGAAAGCCTGAAAACCTCAAAACCTTAAGGCCTGGAAACCCTTAAGACCTTGAAGCCTTAAAGCCTTATAGCACCTTGAAGTCTTAAAGCCTTAAAGCCTTACCGCCTTAAAAGCTTCAAACCTCAACACCTTACAACCTTGAAGCCTTAAAGCCTTAAAGCTTCAAACCCCTAAGTTCTAAATTTTATATCCTTGACCCTGAACCTCCATCGCTGTCCATGAGATAATTGGTTCAGGCCTTCGGGTTTAGGGTTTCGGCTTTCGGGTTTAGGGTTTAGGATGTAGGGGTATTTTCATAAAACAAAAAACGCACGCACGCAACATATTCACAAACGACCATACACAGTAATCCAATTACGGGACTTAAGATGTTTAGGAGTAGAACGGGTTTAGGGTTTGAGGTTCAGAGTTTATGGCGTTCTGCTTTCATACTTGTGCACTGTGCGGATCTTTCGAGAGCGCCAGCAAGAAAGAAGGCACATAACCTTAAGCTGGACGTCCCAAACCCCAACCCAAAAACCCCAAGCCCCTAGCCCTAAACCCCAAACCCTAAAACCTAAACTACCTAAACCCTGATCTCTAAACCCTAACCCTAAACCCTAAACCCCAAACCCCAAACCCTAAACCCCAAACCCTAAACCCTAAACCCCTAAAGCAGGTTTCCGCCATCCAGCAAGCTTGCGGGGGCACCCAAAGCTTGAGATCGTGAGGGAAACCTGGGGACCCTGATTCCTACACCCCTGCCTAAAGGGTTTAGGGTTTAGGTTTAGGGTTTAGGGTTTAGGGTTTAGGGTTTAGGGTTTAGGGTTTAGGGGTTCGGGTCCTCTGGGGCTCTCAGACTCCGACTCTTTCACATCCTTCCCCGGGGCCTTCCGGAGGGGAGGGCCGCATGCTGTGCCAGCACCCCCCTGCTTCTTTTTCGGCAACGTGGGAGCCCGGCCCCCCAAAACCCCAAACCTTGAACCCAGAGCTCTAGCACCCCAGTGCCCTCAAATCCGCAACTCAACAAGGTAAGGGCCCGGGATATGGAACTCTGTTACACAGAACCGCTGACAAAAAGAAGCCCAAAAAGGGTACACTCACGTGGAAGAACCGCCATAGAACGCTTAGATCCTCAATCCTCCGAGCCCCTCTTTCAACTCCAGGCGGTCAGGTCGCTAGGATTGCTAAGGAGACCTCCCCCCTCCGCCCCAAAAAATGAAGAGAAAGCCCCCAAAAGGAAACTACAACTACTCACCATTATTTCCTAGAAAGGGTAGCTTCAGCGAATTTGCTGGGTCAGGTTTGTTTTGTGCGCAGGGGGTTTGGGGTCAAATCGTCCAGCATGTATTTGCTGCATACATATATATATATGTACATATGTGCCTCTTAGCAGTTCTGAAAAGCTTCGTCAAAGCTGTTTGCTTTCAAGGAAAGACCCGCCAGAGGTGACACGCTGACCGCATACTCCCTTCGTATCTGCGCAGATGGCGCTCCGGCTGACAGCGATCGCTCTGATGGTGCAGCTGGTGTCCTCCCAGGACAGCTCCAGGTTTAGGGTTTAGGGTTTAGGGTTCAGGGTTTAGGGCGTTTAGGGTTTAGGGTTTAGGGTTTTTCAGGCTCACAAAATTCTGTTGCAGATCCTGTGAATATTCAAGCAGATATCAGCAGTTGTAGGCTGAACTTCAATCTTCGCATCCAAACTTTGGGACACCTTCTTGGGTTGGACAATGAGTACTTGGCCTGTGAGTTTTATTTTTTCGATCTGAGAGGAGGCAGATGACAGCTGCCTGGTTGGGGGCAATCGCTCAGATGATGCCTCATTCCTCCAAGTGTCCACTGGCCAAGCACCATCTTGCGAATGGAAGCTTTCAGCCGGAGGTGGGAGCGAACGACTTGACACACCCTGCTGGCAGAGTAGCTAAATGTAACGGGCACACATTTGTTGGAGGTTGAGTCAGAAAGTGGCAATGTTGAAGCAGTGGACCGGCAACCCATGGAGTGTTGAGGTCCTTTGATCGTGTTACGCAGAACCGAACTTGGTCGATTCTCGAGTGTTCCACGCATAAGCCCTAAGCCCTAAACCCTAGACCCCAAACCCTACACCCTAAACCCTAAACCCTAAACCCTAAACCCTAAACCCCAAACCCTAAACCCTAAACCCTAGACCCCAGGCGGCAGCTGCCAGCTGAAGTGCGCCGAGAATGGCAAGGTCTGCGACCGCGCGCAGCAGAGGGCTCTTCAGGGAGCTGCATTGGTTGCACAGGCGGCTGCTCTTCCTTTTTGGTTCCTCGTAGGGACTGAGGGAATTCGGGCCGTGTATATATATGTATATATGCACCCTTTAAGGGACTATATAGGGTACCTTAGTCCCTCATTCCCTTGCAAGAATGTGCAGGTGGCTGCTCTTCCCCCGAGTTCTTCGTAGGGCCTAAGGGAATTAGGGCCCCATTTTTACCCGTTAAGGGATTGAATCCCTTTCCCCGTTTGTTAGATGCCCCTCCTGGTTCTTAGTAGGGGCTGAGGGAATCGTGCCCTAGTATATACCCTTCAAGGGTACCTCAGTCCCTCATTCCCTACTAAGAGCCAGCCAGTTGGTGATCCTAAGTCCTAAACCCTAAACCCGAAACCCTAAACCCTAAACCCGAAACCCGAAACCCTAACCCTAAGCACAGGTGGCTGCTCTTGGATGGACTTGCAAGAACGCGCCCCTGGATGCCAACGACGTGGTCAACAGCGACCTGGCTCCCTACATCGTTGCTTAGGTATATGTGGAAATGGTTTTTTTCATTTTTGGTACTTTGTTTCCTCAGAAACAGCTAAAATGAAAACTTTAGGGTACTGTAATTCTTCAGAAACAGCTGACATCATAATTTTAGCTAGGCTTCCGAGTTCAGTATAGGTTGGCACGACCATCAGCGGCACAACTGGCCAATGCAAGTCCTCAGGTGCTGCCTCCGATTCCAAGTGCGGCAGGAAAGGCGGCAGCAGCGTCCGGGTCTGCTGCTGCGTGCCCCAGGGGAGCATCCAGGATGATCCCCACATCCGCACTTTGAGGAACGAGTTCTACACGCTCCTGAAGAGCGGCAACTTTCTGGCCTGGAGCTTTTCCAAGGCGCCCGTGGACTGGCGGCTTTATGCTGCCTACTCCGGTCCCCGTGTCTTGGCAATTCCCAGGGTATTCTCCATGTGTGAGACTGACCTGTTGTATGTGAAACAAAGAAGCCCTGAATCCCTCCTGTCCAGTGTGCAGTTGAAACTTCTGTAGAATTGCTGCCTGCGCTGCTGTAAGCTTAACATGTACACCTCTCTCTGTGTACGTACATGAGCAAGTACATATGTATCTATACGTACGTGAATGTATATGTACATAACGGTCAGATGTATATGCAGCTCGTGTATGTATAAGCTTATACCTATCTCATGATTTGCCCATCGGCATTCCTAGTCCCACAGGGTTTAGGGTTTAGGGTTTAGGGTTTCGGGTTTTCTGGCGCCCCACCTGGAGCTCTCAGGTGCCAAGTTCACCACCCAGTCCTTGCTGCTGGTGGAGTCGCAGAGCGGGCAGACATTGGAGTTCACGGCGGACGCCTGCACCTTGGTCAGAGCGGGGGTAGCATTTTACATTCTTAAGGGTACTGAAAACTCAATAGGGAATAGAAATATGGTTTTTTCATGCTCTCCCTTAAGGGTACTTAAACCCCATAAGGAAAAGACAATTCAAAATTTTTCAATACTCTCCCAGCCATGAACCTAGGCGCCTGGCAGATGAAAACGGAGAGCGGATGGCGCCCCGTACAGCCGCAGGTGCTGTCGAGCTTGGACGCCTGTTGAAAATGCCGGGGGGTTTAGGGTTTAGGGTTTAGGGTTTAGGGTTTAGGGTTTAGGGTTTAGGGTATTGAGTTGCGTCCAACGTGCTTGGGCTCCATGGGGAGGATCCTGGCTGGGACTGTCAACCACCTAAGCAATTAGCATTGCTCACAAGGTTTTTTTGGATGATGCTTGCCTGGTGATTTCTGGTCTTTCTTGGAACACACAAATCTTCAGCGGACGCTTCAGTAGGTGGACCGCAGGAAGAACAAGACGATGTCCGAGACCTCACGTGAACTCACATCACATCACCACCCGAGGCGTGATTTGCAGCATTGCAGATGTCAATCCCACAATGCAAAGATGAAGACTTTAAGCACACGTTCAAGTCGTGTTTGTCATTCTGGTTTGAACGACAAGGGCAGAAGCATGTTGGCCCTCCTTCTGCCCAGGAAGTGGAGGAAGTGAACACGGTGACCGACGACCCCTTGAGCTTGGAATCCGTGATCAGCTTGAAGATGCCGTCGCAGAATGGAGCGCGCAACGTTGCCCGGGTGCTGACACACTGCAGCCCGCAGAATCACGTGAACTTCTTGGTGAAGATGTTCGACTCGAACGACTTGGAATACGCCGGAGGGGAGCTTGGAAGTATTCAGGATCCCAGCAAGGGCCATGTCAGCTTCTTGTCGACCAAGCTGAAGTCAATGACCATGAAGACAGATGACGAGTTTGAGGCCGGAGTTTTCTTGTGTTCAGCCGGGTAGCAGTAGTCGCGGGGTCGCAGACGTCGCCGTCGTCATGGTCGCAGTAGTACAGGCGTAGGAGTAGTTGCACCCCTGGAGCTGTGCTAGTACGGTTACAGTAGAGGACGTCGTAGCCTCTTTGAGTTATGCAGTCCCTTCCCTGCACGAGCAGTCCTCCGCAAGCCACCTGTTGTTGTCAGCTTTCGTTACAGTCCCTCTCCCACAAGTTAGGGTTGCTCGACACATTCACGGTTCAACCCTCATTTTGCCGAGTATTCTGCTTCCTTCTTAGTCAACCTTGTGAAATCATGGTTCAATGCAAAAGGTTGGTCAGCACTGAAACAATAAGTGCTACTGTACTCAATGGTTGATTGTTCCCATCCCATTGGCGCAGTTAAGTTGTTGCTTCTGGACACGTATCAGAAGTCTGCCACAGACAGGGGGGTGGATTTCAGTTCTTAAGCATTTTTGCCCAATATTTTGCGTTAATTCATTGGTGAAGATGGTCAAACCCCAAGATGGTTTGCAGGGTATTCCGATGAGAAACGGTTGCTCATGTTTACGGACAAAGTAAGGGTGCGGTGATGGGGAGTGCGTATGGCTTTTGGAGTGTTTTTTTAAATTTAAGGAACAATTGCATTTTTGGATTGTTCCTTTCCCTGACACTTCTGCTTTGCCACTTCTCTGCCTTTTCCGTTTCTTTTCTGCTTTTGGGCTTCCTTGCTTCTCTGCTTTTGGGTTTTCTGCTCTTGGGTTTTCTGCTTTTGTGCCTCTTTGCTTCTCCGCTTTGCTGCTTCTCTATTTTTTTTGTGCTTCTCTCCGTTTCTGCTTTTCCTCTTTGCTCGTTAGTGCTGTGTTTTCTTAGCTTGACCTGCTTTTTTTTTCTTCCCTGGACTTGTATCGTGTTTCTGTTCGTTCTGCTTTTCTTCGCTTCATCATTGTTGTCTTCTGCAAAATGTGTTTTCATGACCTGTTTCTGAAATTAATTACTGTTTGTCATCAAACATCTTTCACCCTCCTATTCATCTTCAACATCATCACCATTGTATTCCTCATATTCATCATGATCATCGTCTTCATCCATCAGTTGCCCCAGCACTCCATCATTTTCTCCATCATGTGTTCCGCATGATTATCTTGTTCTCCTCGTCCACCTCCTCCTCCTCCTTATCATCCTCATTTAATCGCAATAGTTATTGTGATCCTCATGTTAGTAATAATAAAAATGATCATAATCTCATCATTGGCATTATCAGGTTCACCAGGGTCTCTTCACCATCACCATCACCTGTATCGACTTAGCATGAAAAGATCTTGCCAAACATGAACCCTCAGGGGGGAGAGGAGGCGCTGCGCCCTCCCCCCAACCGCACTCCAACGAGGACAAGAACAAGTCCTACAAATCCTACCAGATGGAAAGGTGAGGGTATGAAATGCTGCAAGCACCCTGCAAAATGGAGAGATCCTTGCCTAAAACCCTAAACCCCTACACCCTAAACCCTAAACCCTAAACCCTAAACCCCAAGCCCCTAAACCCTAACCCCTATAATAGAAGGCCGAGGTTCCCAAATGTGCGAAAGGCATGCCAAACGACAGGTCGAAGAGCCGAAACCCCGTAAAAAGCAGGGGACAGGCTCGACCACCAAAAACACGAAATCCCAAACGAAGAGAACATACCTCCTCGATGAGGACTAGCCTCGAGTGACGTTGTAGAATTCGGAGGGAAGCCTACTTCGCTAAACCCTAAACCCTAAATCCTAAACCCTAAATCCTGAGAGCAAACCTTGAGTTCTGTTCCGAGAGGTTCTGGGAACATGGGCTTCCTTGGGCGGCAGTGAAGCTGCAACGAAGTTCCTCGAGTCCAGACAGGACTTGCTGTTGGTTAGGGGCCCCTATAAACCCCTTTAAGGGTTTAGGGCTTAGGGTTTAGGGTTTAGGGTTTAGGGTTTAGGGCTTAGGTTATATAGGGCACCCTATATCCCCCTATATAGAGACCCGTTAAGGGATTACGTAGGGTTGCCTCCTTCCCCCCACTCCCTACGAACCGACAGGAAGCTGGAGCAATGTTGCTGAGCACCAGCGGCGAAGCTTGCACCGAGGCGCAGGAGCAAGAAGCGGACGCCCGGACTAGGGTTTAGGGTTTAGGGTTTAGGGTCTAGGGTTTAGGGCTTAGGGGTGGAGACCTCTCAATTCTTGAGCATGTAGATTGGAAGCTCGAGGGAATACGTCATGATAAACCCACAGCCAGCTACCAGCTGGGTCGGCTGGATTCAGGGATTTCGGAGAGGGTCGGTGTTGCCGTGATTGCCGTGCTGCTCCAAGGAGAAGATTTGCGCCAAGCACCTCGAGAAGGATGGCATTCATGCAGAGATCTTCACGAACTGTGTTTTTGATGTCTGCCACGGCGGGGGGGAAGCAGATGCTCTGAGTGCCGCCGCATTCATCACTGCTGGTGATAATTAACTTTGTGTCGTTTTAAACCGAGATGGCTCGAAGAGACTGATCGGAAATTTAATTAGTCTTCATGCTTGAAGGCATGAGTTCTCAGGCCCTGTGGGTTAAGCCTTTTAAGATTTGTCGGGTCAAACGTGAAGTGCCACTTGCTTGCTGACCCTAAACCCGAAACCCCAAGCCCTTAAACCCTTAAATCCTTAAACCCTGAAACCCTTGTACCCTTAAAGCCTTAAACCCTTGAACCCTTTCATTAAACCCCTAAACCCTTAAACCCAACCCTAGACCCTAAACCCTGAACCCTTAAAGCCTTAAACCCTAAACCCTAAACCCTCAACCCTAAACCTTAATATAGGGGTCGGAATAATTACTACTCTCTGTATAATTATACTACAACCCCCCAAAGCAAGCCACAGCTCTCAGGTGTGCGCATGCAGGACTGCGCCGAGGGGATTGGGCGCCGGGATGTCTCTTGTGGGTTGGAAGGCTTAGGATGGTGTTAGGGGAATGGGGGTTAGGGTTTAGGGTTTAGGGTTTAGGGTTCAGGGTTCAGGGTTTAGGGTTTAGGGTTTAGGGTTGGGGTGAGTTGATTGAGGTTTCGTTGTTTTTTGATGCAGGGTTTGAGGTCTCCCTAAACCCTAAACCCTTAGCCCTAAACCCTAAACCCTAAACCCCAAACCCTAAACCCTAAACCCTAAACCCTAACCCCGAACCCCTAACCCTTGAACCTTGCGAGGAGACGGCGAACCGCATCGCCGTGGGGGACACCAACACCGGCTTCCCGCGAGTCGGGGGCGCCTTGGCGGCGGATGAAGGTCTCCGAAGCTTTGTTGGGATCACAGGAGCCCCTAAACCCCAAATCTAAACCCTTAACCCTAAACCCTGAAACCCAAAACCCTGAACCCTTAACCCCAAACCCCTAAACCCTAAACCTTTAGTGTCATGGGTATTTGAAATACTTTGCTGTATCGCTAGAGTCTAGACCCAAGTCTCTAAACACCTATCAGGGGGGCTTAGCCCCAGGGGCGCACAGTTTCGGGGTCCGCGAGGTCTCCCCAATCTTAGTGGCCCCCACCATCCACCGCCCAAAATGCCCAGCCTCGGGTTTAGGGTTTAGGGTTTAGGGTTTAGGGGTTTTACCGCGCTTGCAGGGTTTTTGGGGCTTGGGGATGTTAAGGGTCGAGGCTTGGGTCCTTGGGGTTAAGGGTTTCAGGGTGAAGGGTTTAGGGCTTAGGGTTTAGGGTTCAGGGTCTAGGGCTTAGGGTTTTTTGGGGTAAGGGTTGAGGGTTTTAGGGTTTAACGGGAACCCGAAGCCAAGAACGCCGAGGCATCGACTGCACGCTCAACGACCGTGCGGGGCTCAGATGTTCTTGGAGGCTGCGCAGCTTGTCGAACCCTGGCCTTCAAAACCCCCTAAACCCGAACCCAAAACCCAAAACCCTAAACCCTAAACCCTAAACCCTAAACCCTAAACCCGACACCCTAACAGCTAAACCCCCTAAACCCGAGATCCTAAGCAACAAGTACAGAACCCCCCTGCCAAGCCATGCCTAGGAGCTCCCTAATCCACCCGAAACGGCGGAGTTTGGGAAATCCGCAGTGGTGGTTTAGGGTTTAGGGTTTAGGGTTTAGGGTTTAGGGTTTAGGGTAAGCTTGAGGGGTTTAGGGTTTAGGGGCTTGGTAGCGCAGTGGTACCCTTTCCTCTAGGGAGTTGAGGGGTTTATGGTTTGGGGTGTCCGGGTTTCAGGGTCCTGGGTCGGTACTTGAAGTCTTCTTAGTTTTTTCACCTCCTCTTGCTGAGTTTTTTGACCGTTCAAAAATGCTTTGGGTAGTGGCTGTTTCAGGTTCAGGGGCTCTCTTTCGAGGCTTTTTTAGGCTTCTGGGGTTTGAGGTTTAAGTTCTGGTTTCGGGTTTAGGCTTTGGGGGGGGCTTTGGCGGCTTTGTTGGGGTTCAATGGCGGCTTTGTTGGGGTTCAAGGGGAAGATAAGGAAGCATTCTACCAGACCCCTTAATTTCTGTCTAAGGGGTAACTATGCCCCAGGGGTTATGTGAAATATTTGTTAGAAACCTTGTTCTCCCTAACCCTCCCGGTGCCTGCCGGCACATTTAGGCGTCTCCGAACCTGGAGACTGCGACTACCTGAACTGCCACGTCACGGACGACAGGCTAGCCGAGGGAGCTGACGTTCAACCTCGGAAGCTTTCCTTCAACCCCCTGCGTTCCCCAAAGCCCCCTGAAGCCCCTAAACTCTGAACCCCAAAACCCCCAAACCTTGGGATGTTCCCCCTTATACTATACTGGGGGGTACTCTAATCCCTATTTAGGACTGGTGGTATAAGGGGGAACATCCCGGCGTAAACCCCCCAAAACCCTAGACCTCTAAGATGTGAAGTGCTGAGGTGCTACTTCCTTACTGCTAGTCTTTAGGGGTTGGGGGTTGAGCCAGGGCGTAGGAGATAGAGTCAGCTAGAGGTTAAGGGTGTTGGGTTAGGGATGCCTTCAGCGTGTCAAGCTGGGGGGCAGGGGTCAGAAACCAAATTCTTGGTTTTTTAAGGGTTCAGGATTTTGCTGGTTTTGGGGTTTAGGGCTTTGGGGGGGTATTTTGTTGGTGGTAGGGTTTGGGGCTTAGGTGTTATACAGGCCGGTGGCCTCTTTATCTGTTTCCCTTATACCTTCATATAGCCCCTAGATACCCCAATAAGAACCCCGAATATATACCCCTGTCAAGCAGAGACCCTACTTAAAGAGACCACCAGCCCATATAACTTAGGTGGGTGAGGGGGGCTCGGGTCGGCCCTACACCCTAAACCCTAAACCCTAAACCCTAAACCCTAAACCCTAAACCCTAAACCCTAAACCCTAAACCCTAAACCCTAAACCCTAAACCCTAAACCCTAAACCCTAAACCCTAAACCCTAAACCCTAAACCCTAAACCTAAACCCTAAACCCAGGGTTGTAGCGGCCCCGGGCCAGGTTCAAGAAGGCCGTCGCCACTCTCAAGAAGCGGAACGACGCTTGCTACGTGGTCCGGCGGCACATCCACGGCCCTAAACCCTAAACCCTAAACCCTAAACCCTAAACCCTAAACCCTAAACCCTAAACCCTAAACCCTAAACCCTAAACCCTAAACCCTAAACCCCCCTAAACCCTAAACCCGAAACCCTAAACCCTAAACCCTAAACCCTAAACCCTAAACTCTAAACCCTACACCCTAAACCATGCTGAAACCTAAACATTTACGATCAGACCAATGGCTCCGAGATCCCATCCCGATGAGGGTAGGCAGGCCCCATTTTTTTGGTATTTAGGGTTTGGCCGAACATTTCATGGGCCCTTCGTGTGGTCCCTTACCCTTGTCTATAGGGACCCGAAGTATGGGCCCGTAGTATGTACAGGGTTATATAAGAGTTATTTTAAAGGGGAGGTTTAGGGTTTAGGGTTTAGGGTTTGCTGTAATAGGGCGTAGATGCTGTGAAGGTTAGGATGCAGCAGCGGCTCGAATGCCTCGTCAGGTGCGAAGAGCAGTTCTGGCCCGATTGTGGAGGGCCATGTAATACTTGTCTCCCACCCCACGCCGTCCGAGGCGGCAAAACCACCCGAACCTATTCCTTTTAGGGTTTAGGCCTAAACTCATGACAATCGCTTACTTTCGAAAAAAACCTTTCCGTCACCGATGGCCAATTTCAGCCAAGGGAAAGGTTTGAGGCTAGGTCCTCAGCTGCATAGAAAAGGAGAGGTTTTAGAGGGTTTGCAGGGTCAGGAGGCTAGGAGGGAGAGAGGGGGGCCAAGGAGCAGTGGGGGGTCGGGGGGATCAGGGAAAGGGGGTCAGGGGCAGTCAGGAGCCAAAAAGGGCCAGGGAAGTCGGGGGCCAGCAGCAAAGCCCAAAGAAGGGCCAGCTGGGCGAGCCAGAGCTGGCCACGCTGCGGCGAGGGGTCCGGCTCCTCCTGGCCTGGGGCCCTGGGCGTACCCCCCCGAAAATGCCAGCCACCTTCTGTACAAGGGAGGTTTAGGGACTTCATTATAAGGGACCAGTACTGGTCCCGAAAAGCTACCGACCCGGGCTGCAGGAGGCGGGCAAGCGGCCTGGGTCGACTTTCGCCATCGAGGTCGAAGGGCTTAAGCGCCGCCCCCCTTCTGTAAGGGCGGCCTAGGCCCTGAGTTTTGGGTTTATGGTTTAGGGTTTAGGGTTCCTTCGAGGTTTACACACATAGCAAATCCTTGAATCCTAAGCCCCGCCTTGTCGGCCAAGGATGAGTGGGCCGGGAGCTCGGGGCAAAGCAGACAAGGTTGAGAAGCCTAGCCCTAAAGCCTATACCCTAAACCCTAAACCTTAAACCCTAAACCCTAAACCCTAAACCCTAAACCCTAAACGACAAGCCCTGAGGCCCAAAGCTCTGATTGAGCGGTTTAGGGTTTAGGGTTTAGGGTTTAGGGCACCCCGGCCCGGAGCTTAGGGAGGAGTTCTAGGCTTCTACGAGTAGGTTATGAGTAGGTTCAGGGTTTTAGGACCCCAGGACCCCAAACCCTAAAACCTTCAGCCCCAACGCTAAGCCCTAAGCCCTTAACTCCAAAACCCTCAGTGTCCTACGAAGAAGGCGAGGCCTGATGATTTGAGGGAGGGCGCGCGGCTCCCGAAGCCCAAAAAGCCCAGCAAGCCCATGTTGCCTTAAGCCCCTAAATGAGCGAAACTGCTTCGGGGGAATCGCCACGAAAGAGCTGCAACTTTAACGAGTTTGGCCTGTCGATCACTGGAGTCGCCACAAGTAACAGCAGCAATATTCAACACAAAGACAGAGAAAAAAGAGAGAGAGAGAGAGAGAGGGTGAGACTGTGTGTGTGTGAGAGACAGAGAGAGTGAATAGAGGGCGCGCGCTGGCGTGCGAGGGGCACCGCCGCCGCAGCAGCAGCAGCAGAAGAAGAAGAAGAAGAAGAAGAAGAAGAAAAAGAAGAAGAAGAAGAAGAAGAAGAAGAAGAAGAAGAAGAAGAAGAAGAAGAAGAAGAAGAAGAAGAA